GAAAAAAAAATGGGAAGAAAAAGATGAGAAAACAAATCATCCTTTTCTTTTAAACAGAATGACCACAACTATAGAGAAGTTGGGGAAAGAGGTTCAAGGAATTAGTCACTTTTTATAAAACATTAATCTACAGTGGCTTGTACTTGTGCAACAGAATGTACAATGCTGATAGGAAATCCAGAGGAAAAATCATTACGAATTCAAGAAATATATAAATGAGTATGTCCCAAATAACTATTATAAAACTCTCCCCCATTCTTGAGTTTCAAATACATCCTAATCTTGTTGTCACCTTAAATAACACTGTCCTTTGAAGGACAGTGCCATTTTTAAAGAGATTTAAAAGATCTATTATAAAAAGATTAATCTCAAATTTCTCTGAAAATATTCAGTGTGGATAAAAGCCTATCTATTTTCAGAACACTGGTCTGGACTTTGGCCCTTAACCTTGCACATGTAGTCAAAAGTCCTATAAAACTGTTGAGTTGGCCTGCCATCTGGGTTAAGATTCATTTCTACAGTTGAAATGATGTATTACTATAATATCCAATACAAAAAGTTAAGAAACAAAGGCATAAATAAAGAGTATCACCATCCTTTAGTGGCATATGATTGCTAAAAATTTTGGATACAAATTCAATGCAGAAACTTTAGAAAATGAACAAAGTGTAATGATGATGATGAATTAACAACAGGAAAGGTGTTCTTATTATTTTGCCTGAAGTAATAAGCATTTGGCATATGTGTTATTCTACTTGATCTTAACAACCCTAAGAAATAAACCTATCATTAAAGACTTGTTTTTATCAGTTTACAAGGAATTTAAGGTTATGAAAGTTAACACACAGATATAGCTAGTGGATGTCAAAAATTAAATCCAGATCTAACTCCAGAATTTGAGCTCTCATTTACTGATATATGCGGCCCAAGAAAGAAAATTAAAACCACCTGTAATCCCACCAACCAGCTACAACCACTGGTAACATGACCATTCTCTCACCAATCCCATTCTCTCCTGACTTCCCAACCAATCCCAATTATCTCTCTCTTTAGGAAACCAATGTTTTCCCTATGAATATATATATATGTTCATATATATATACAAATACATATTTAGTATGTTAAATTATAGAAATAACATCATAGTATATGTCATGTTGCTGTGACAGGAAACTGAGGCACAGAGATATTATATCACATGTTTAGGATCATAGGGGGGAAATCAGAACTGAAACGTAATTAAGATACATTTAACTAAAAATGATCCTAGGGCACTTGTGTGGCTCAGTCGGTTAAACACCTGAATCTTGATTTTGACTCAGCTCATGATCTCAGTGTTGTGAGATTGAGCCAAGAGTTGGGCTCATGGCTGGGCGTGGAGCCTGCTTAAGATTCTCCCTCTCTCCATCTACCCCTCCCCTATCCCCTTCCTGTCTAAAATAAATAAATAATAATTAAAAATAATTGAAAATGACCCTAAACCTTTACATCTCTCCTCCTGCCCCATTATTTAGAAAACACTTTAAAACCCTGCAGTATACTTCAGGATTATCACTATAATAACAAAATAAGCTAACATTTATTTATAAGCATTTACTATGAATCAAGCTTCTTGTAAGAGCTTTACATTTATTAGTCGGATTTAAGATTATTATTACCATTTTTATAGATGAGAAAACTGAAAGGTTAAATGACTTGCCTAAAGCCACACAGCTAATAAATAATGCCATAAGCAGGAAAGTTAAGAGTATAGGATGAATCTATTCTCTTACCTTGGGAACTGCTTTTATTGAAATCACGGGTTATCAGTTGGTTACCCTAAAAATGGATTATAGTCCAGTCTCATACTTAAAAACTGAATTTTCTGCTTTTTAATTTAAGGATAGTTTAAGGGGGTGTTTATAGAATTTAAACAGTACCAGAATTATAGGCAATCTATCTCTGGACTACATTGTGTCCACTTCAAGAGTTCAATAATAAATTGTTTGTGATCCTATACATATCACTTAAATTTTCTGTCTTAATTTCTCCACCATAAGACAATTATCAAACACAATTCACTTAACAATTGCTCTGGTAGGTCAGTTATGTAACATGATCAATCATGTCCCATGATTTTAAGTACAGAACCAAAACATACTGTTTACTTGTGTTTTTCTCACATTTTCTGCATACAACAAATTTGATTCGAGGAATAGTAAAATGTAAGTTAGGTATTTTGAATCTAAGGCTAGGGGTGCCTAGATGGCTCAGTGGGTTAAGCATCTGCCTTCTGCTCACTGGGCTCCCTGCTCAGTGAAGAGGCTACTTCTCCTTTACCTTCTGCCCTTCCCCTCTGCTCTTGTTCTCTATCTCAAATAAATACATAAAATCTTAAAAGAAAAAAAAATAATCCAAAGCTCTGAAGACTGAATCCCTTAATTTATTAGACAAATTCTGATCCACAGCTATACCTCAGTGTACCTTTCACTAGACTTTGCAGACCAAATATCAATGATCTGGTCTGGTTTGATCCACAATTTCCTTTTATATGTAGGATAATCTTGAAAACTAGACACAGGTAACAGATACCAGGTACAAAAGGACAAACCAAAAAAAAGACATGGCCATTTCTTAGAACAAAAGTTTTACTCTTCCAACCTAAAATATAGATATCAAAAGGTTAAAGTTTAGATAATACAGAAACAACACTCTCAGAAGTCAATAGCAGAATGAACCCTACTAATTCAGCATTGTTCACTGGACTGCCCGTAAGCAGCCTGCAGCAGTCCTGTAACCCAGCTGTCCCTCAAAGTGTGGAACATCAACCAGCAACTTCAGAATCACCTGAAAAGCAAATTCTCAACCCAACCCAGGTTTACTGAACCAGAAATTCTGAGGGTGGGCCCAGCAATCTGCATTTAAATAGGTCTTCCTAGTAATTCTGAAGCATGTGAAAATCTGAAAGTCACTGTTTGAACCTTTGGTTTATGACTGTTGTCTCTGTGAAATATACTATTTTCCTAAATTAGTATGTGATAATGAATACAGCAAGTGGACAAGAAGAGAAAACAGCTTTAACTGAATTACTATATATAAGTATACAATAAAATATAATCACTATTCTGTTAGCATATCCTACGTAAGAGAAATTCAAAAGAAATGGATTATTTGTTTGCTTTGTGAGTACACTGAATTTATCTGTTTGTCGTTAAGTTTTGGTACTATGTAGAAGATAACAGCTTCAACCTTCAGGTCACTAATCTTATTTCAATAGAAACTTATTTTCGGAGAGTTTAATAACTTTATTATAAAAGAGTAAAACACTAAGAAGTTTCCGTGCATTAAAACTGTTCAGATAAGAAAAGGAGAGACTGAGGAGTATGGCAATTAACATTCTGGCAACATGTTTTAGTTTCTTCCTGGCTTTCTGAAAATTTCAACTGAGGTTTAGTTTGGTTCAATTCCAATTCAGCAAAGATTCATATTGGTGGAAAATACATGGATAATTTTTAAAAGGACAGGGATTCAGCACTGGCATTCCAACAAACAGCAGCTACCTTGCTTCTTTGACAATAACAGCTAGATTACATTAAAGATGTCAGATGGACAATCAGGAAGTGAAAGATTAGTCTCCCTGACAATCATTCTGACTTGCAAATCTGAAAAAGAAAAGGCCTCTGACAGAGCTTCTCTTCCAAAACTCTACACAGGAATAGGGAATTAGTGCATTTATTTGTTTTACGTTATTATATTAAAATTTGCATGAAGAAATGCAAAGCACATTATTCCCTTTACCAAGAAGTGTGACAGTACCTCAAAACATGAAAAGGATTCTTCTAACCATGTGCTATCATGCCATTTAAAGAGCTATTTTCTTCCTTTCAGAAACAGAAAAGCTGGCTCCTAATACATAACTGTGATTGATTTTAAAAAAGTCATCTCCAACAGTGGATGAAAACTAGGATTCTGCATCCTGAAAGTAAAATCCCCAAGATATTTCAATATTTAAAACTGATCCATACAATGGCTCTGATTAGGTTTGGTTCAGATTTTCGCCTATTATCTTTTTTTTAATATATATATAAACATGTCTTATTTGCCTTCAGAACTATATTACCCTGACATTTCAGATTGGAGTTATTGATACTTTCCCTAGAACTAAAAATCATTTTTTTCTGCTGATCCCTAATGTGGTAAATATGTAGTGGTTTCACTCTGTGGTTTACCATCAATTTTAATGAGCAGGAATAAACAAAAGACCTAAAACCAAGTCTTCTAAGGCCCTCTACTAAAGCTCTGATCTGTATACTCAACTAGATCTTTGAACATTTCTGACACAGCTCTATAGACTCACTGTAGAGTGAGTGTAAAGGATGTTGCCAGGCAACTCATCTCAGTTTGCAAGAATCTAAGCATTGATAATGACTCTGTCTCAGCTTGGCTCCCACAAGAGAAGAGTTTTCGTGAACTCCCACATGTGCTCATAGGCCATTCATGAGAAGAGGTATTTCTAAAACTGAATGTCCAGGAGTCCAAATTGGGAACCTATAAGGTTTCTTTTCTAATTTAAGTTTAATGTTTCCAACATCACAACTATTTTCTGTAACTGTCCAGAAATCCAATAGGCATTCAAAAAAGTAGGTCGTGTATAAGGGACGAGTGTTGAATGAACATTTTTATTCATATTTTTAATATTTTTGTTTGTACACGGCCAAAGCAATATTTCTTCAAGGATCTCAAATCACAAAAATCATTCTGGAAACTATTTATCTACCAAAATTATTTTAGTTCTTTTGAGAATTATCCTTGAAATGGTTTTCAATACTTACTCTTGATTGTATCAGTAGTAAAAAGGATGTTTAATAAAAACTATCTTCTAATAAGGAAAATATGCAATCAGTTGCAAAAGGAGTTACAGTATGTTTTTATGAATAGTATACATGCAAAACACTGCTCTGCCGGATGGGCCTGATCCAAACCTCCCTCTGTCAAAGCAGACACTTTGCATGCATGCTTACCAGGGCAGTATGCATCCACATCCAGTTTCTGAGCTGAAGCGAGGGTTGGTGAGCCAAGCTCGGATTCTGGAATTCGTGGGCTCTCAACAAACTTTGCCTTCCTCAGAGGGGCTAAGAACAAAAGAAGAGACAGAGAGAGGGAGAGGGAAAAAGGAGAGAGAGAAAGAGAGAAAGAGAGAGAGAGAGAGAGAGAAGAAAACAAAAAGGAAGGAAGAAAGAAAAAGGGAAACAGGGAAAGAGAAGGGAAAGAGAGAAACACAGAGGGGTCATGAGTAAGGGGAACAGCAGGCAACAGATGGAAGCACTTAAATGAACGACACACTCTGTCAGACTCAGATCAGGTTACCCTATTTTTTTTTTGTGCCAGAAAAAAAATTAACTGCATTCTTCATAGAGAAGATGGGTCTTGTTAAAAAGTCACTGCAAACTGGAACAGCTAAAATCTAATATTCAAAACTATGAGCCTAAGTTGCAATTGTTTATTACCTTTAGCTACTTTCTCTCTTTAGAAAGCAAAGAGCTATTTTTTCTTTGCCATTAAATAAAGGTGCTGAGGAAAGTATAGAGCTAGGTTTTAAAATTCTGTTTATAACAATTGTAATCAAAACTTTTTTTTTTAAATCCAGAAATAACTGTTATGACACTCAATTGTGATAAATACCATAACTAGGATTAATCTACCTAGCTTAAAAGTAAATCAATCACCTGACTGTTCAGCTTATAAAGTAAAAAGTCAAACTGCTTTTGGACTAAGATGTTATCTAGGCCATGTCACTGTGACATTGGATGCTAAAGGTAGAGAGACGTGATTTAATTACACATATAATCAGGAGGTCTATGGATTAGTAATATTCCATGTCATGAAATCCATTCATTCTTGTTAAAAAATACAGAAGTACTTTTGAAATGTGCTGATACTCAAAACCTACAAGCAACTAAATCACATTATAAATCTTAAAATATGCATATATATTTTAAGTGGTATGTTAAAAAACAAAATAAATCCTGTTACTTTCACCATAGCAACAAGAGCTAAGGGTGTTAACAGTATGGTTCTCTGCCAAAAGTAAGCTTTAGAATAGCAGAACTCTCACCTCTGCTAAAACTGTAATAATTGAGCCTATTTTTAAAAGTCACTGTCACAAAGATCTCGAGTGATTTATATGCAGATCTGCAGGTTACTAATAACCAATATTAGTGTCTCTTTCATTATAATCTCACCAACCAATTCAAAAATAATGAAACATTTTATTTATCCAGTATTGCTTTGTATAGAAGAAATGATTATAATTTAATTCTTAAAGCTATTAAGCCCTTTACTAGAATTTTATTATTTTATTTTATCATGGCAGCAGAGTAACTATTCACCTGCTGAGTTCTGACAAAGACAGCACTGGTCCCTGTTAAAGGGATTCCATATATCTAAAAATCTTAACAATTTTTATAATGAAAATAGTAGGCTAGTAGACAGAAATCAGCAACTCAGGGTAGAGATATAAGGAAGAAACTGAAGGATGGCAGGAGAAACTGAGGGGGTGGTATGAGGAAAGTATAAGAATTATGAGATGGGAGTCAAGGGGATAAATCAGGATCCCAGGGATTCTGTAAACTCAATGCCATGCAGACTTGTGTTTCCCTTCTCAGGAATTCCAAGAGGTTATCTTTACAGCCCATAGTGGACATTTGATTCTTTTTTCCTACCTCATCTCTACCCTCATTTATGAGATACTGTAAATGTCTAATAATTACTTTAAGTTATTTTTAAAGGTAGATTATAATGTTGCTCTTACCCAAATCATAGAAAACTAGTGCTGTCTATAAGTCCAAACACAGAGGGTGCAATCACAGGTATGACAGGTTGTCCTATAGTGTTAATACTGCTTGGTGAAGAACATAAAAGGTCACTTTGGAATATAGGACACAATATTTTGCTCTCAAGACTAGAATTTTAATTTGCTTCATTGTCAAAAAAAAATGTTACATAAGATGATTCAGCTAGGTAAAAGAATTCTGTGTCAAAAGGGTTTATCAGTTTTTTAAAAAGTGGTTGAAATGAGATGGGTAGGAGGATCATAAAACCAAACTAGATATTTTACTGTGATATAATATGGTAGTAGGGTAGCAAGGGGCTGGATAACACAAGAATTAAGAGAAAGCTTAAGTGAGATTCCATCTCTTCCACTTCTTCTTAGCTGAGAACATTTCTCTTGTGTTTTCTATCAGTTATTTGAACTTAATTTTTTTATTATTTTATTTATTTATTCATGAGAGAGACAGAGAAGATGCAGAGACACAGGCAGAGGGTGAAGCAGGCTCCATGCAGGGAGCCCAATGCAGGCCTCAATTCCAGGACTTCAGGACCACGCCCTGGGCTGAAGGCAGCTGCTAAACCGCTGAGCTACCCAGGGATCCCTAAAATAAGGATTTTAAATAACTACTAAGGTATTTGTCTTTGATAAACTTATCCAGCAAATGGGAATTTTTAGGATGGAGCTGGCACAGGACTCAGATATTTATGGGAGATAGGTACAGAGGCAGACCAAACCAAAGCAAAGATAAGGAAAATGGGAATTGAAGGATATATTTAGGATGAGAACATCATAAAGTACTAAGAAATTCTTTTCATAAAGTCGGTTTTGTAATAAAAAACATATTCAGCAAGATTAATCTAACACAAATTAATTGCCAAATGTGAAAGCAGAGCAAACAGATTTTAGCTATAGGTGAGAATGAGGAATATAAGGCATCCAAGTCAGAATGGAGTAAATAAAATCATCTCTGTTCACGGATGACATTCCTTAAATGGAGAAAACCTTAAATGAAGTAAAGATTCTGCAATAAAACTGTTAGAACAAACTGAGCAAAATTGCAAGATATAAAATCTATACACAAAATACACTAATGATGAGCAATCCCAGATGAAATTAAGAAAACAATTCAATTTAAAGTAGCAATAAAAAAAGAGTACTTAGGAATAAACTTAATCAAGGAGGTTAAAGACTTAAACACTGAAAAACTATAAACTGTTGCTGAAATTAAAGACACAAATAAATGGAAAGACATCCCTTGTTCATGGATTTGAAGACTATTTAATATTGCCAAAACGGCAATACTTGCCAGAGCGATCTATAGATTCAATGCAATCCTAATAAAAATCCCAATGACATTTTTTGCAGAAATAGAAAAATCGATCCTAAAATTCATAAAGAATCTCAAGAAACCCTGAATAACCAAACCAATCTTAAAAAGAACAAAGTTGGAGGTCTTATACTTCATGATTTCAAAACTTACTATAAAGCTTCTTATAAAGTAATCAAAACAGTATATATAGTACACTGTCATAAAGACAGACATATAGACCAACTGAACAGAGATTTCAGAAATAAATCCAATACGCGAATGATTTTACAAAGATACCAAGACCATTTTATGGGCAAAGGACAATCTTTTCAATAAATGGTCTTGGGGAAACTGGATATTCACAGGCAAATGGATGAAGCTGGATCCACATCTTACACCATATATAGAAATTAACACAAGATCAAAGACCTAAATGTAAGAACTAAAATTCTAAAACTCTTAAGAGGAAAATATAGGAGAAAAAGATATGAACTGGAGAACTATTAAACAAGTGTCCATCGAAAGATGAATGGATAAAGAAGATGTGGTCTATGTATACAATGGAATATTACTCAGCCATTAGAAACAACAAATACCTACCATTTGCTTCGACGTGGATGGAACTGGAGGGTATTATGCTGAGTGAAATAAGTCAATTGGAGAAGGACAAACATTATATGTTCTCATTCACTTGGGGAATATAAAAAATAGTGAAAGGGAATAAAGGGGAAAGGAGAAAAAAATGAGTGGGAAATATCAGAAAGGGAGACAGAACACGAGAGACTCCTAACTCTGGGAAACGAACTAGGGGTGGTGGAAAGGGAGGTGGGTGGGGGGTGGGGGTAACTGGGTGACGAACACTGAGGGGGGCACTTGATGGGATGAGCACTGGGTGTTATGCTATATGTTGGCAAATTGAACTCCAATTTAAAAAAATGTAAAAAAAATATTAAAAATAAAAGTTGGAGAAAAATGGAAATTTTATGTGGAAAGAGAAAACTATATTTTAAAAAGTTTTTGACAGAGTTTTCATAGGGAGAATCTTTTATGAATATTCATAATATTTTAGCTCCTAAACATTTATTAGAAAATAAACAGCCATCAGGATACATTTTAAGGATTATCATAACCATTTGGCAGTATTAAGATACATCATTTACTCAAAATGCAAATTCAATGCTTAATGAAATTTTCACATATTAAGAGTGATACTTTTAAAATGAGAATTGTTGGGCAACTGGGTGGCTCAGTAGATTAAGCATCTGCTTTCAGCTCAGGTCATGCCAGGGTCCTGGGATCGAGCCCTGCATTGGGCTTTCTACTGAGTGGGGAGCCTGCTTCTCTCTTTTCCTCTGCCCCACACCCCTCCAGCTCATGCTCACTCTTTCTTGTACTTTCTCAAATAAATAAAAATCTTCAACAAAAAAATAAAATGAGAATTGTTTTGTTGGAAAACTGAATACAACTATTTGTAAACCAACCATAAAATGTACCAGAGAGCTCTTCCATTCAATCCAGTAAAATGTTACTGTGTTTTACCTACCATGTGCAGAGGCTAAATGCTTCAGGGGATTCAAACATCATTAGAACAGTCTCTGGCCAGAAGGAACTCAATTATGGAGAAAAGGCAGAGTAAGAATAGCTATGATAGGGATCCCTGGGTGGCGCAGCGGTTTAGCGCCTGCCTTTGGCCCAGGGTGTGATCCTGGCGACCCGGGATCGAATCCCATGTCGGGCTCCCTATATGGAGCCTGCTTCTCCCTCTGCCTATGTCTCTGCCTCTCTCTCTCTGTGTGTATGACTATCATGAATAAATAAATAAAATCTAAAAAAAAAAAAAGAATAGCTATGATATACAGTAGAGAAAGCTAAGTGCCAAAAGAGGTATAAAACAGGGGCTACTGGGTTTAAAGAAGAGAAAAATATATTTCAGAATGCCTTCCAACTCAGCACAAAGTTTAATAAATGTTCATTAATTTTATATTAAAATC